CGGTAACCACTTTTTCCTGAAGCAATCCCTGGCACGTTGCTTGAAATGCCATACAAAAGAAATAAAGAAGATCCTGTTCCAATGAATAAACACCAGAAAGAATTTCAACAATGCATTTTCCCAACTCTTGCAGATAACTTATCGGATACTTAATATTCTGTGTTTCCATTGCCTTTCCACGAAGAGGCTGATCACTATCCTGGTCTTTCAAGCTCACAGATGATGTGTAGTCTTGCCACAGAAGCTTTACAAGGATATTATTGATAAGGGTGATCCGAATATGAGAAATGGAATCAACACTGTCACAAAATCTGGTACGAATAAGAAGATATGAATTAGCATTCTAAAGAAAATAAATGATACAAAAAGTGAGAAGAATTAGGAACATCTGAACCACTAAACAAAAAGGAGTGCAGAGGGAGAGCTCAATTAACTCACCTAGAGGCGTTATGTAATCCCCAAAGAAAACACTCTCTAAATGCCCTGAAAAATGCTAGTCGATCCACATTTGAAGAATGAACTGGGTTCCTTCCAGCCCATAGGTTATGGAAAAAATCAAGAAAAATATTGTCTCCTGATAATGCTTTAGAAGGAATAGCATCTAAGAAGAGAACCAATGCCGGATAAGAAACTTGCTGAGATCCAAAGCACCCGTTCCTAATAAAAGACCAAAATCGATTGAATACAGATTTCTGAACATTTATGGTAGTCCAACTGTCAGGAAATCTCTTTGAAAATAGCAAAATTGCATCCCACATCGAAGAATGACAAGCAGGATCTTTTTCCTGGAAAGCACCAAGAACTGCTGCAGCAAGGGTTTTCATATTTCCCTCATCAAACGCCTGAGGAATGTTTTTAATGAAACTTCTTAAGACTGAGTATGTAGCTGACCGAATTGCAGGGCTTTCAGACTTCAAAAAATCCAGAAAATATTTATGGGTAGAGAAGAGTTTTTCAGCAAAGGAAATAGCAGTCGCCCTGGCCTTTGAAGCATGTTTTGGTTCAGCAGATATGTTTTCAAAACCAGGTCTTTCTATTTGCACCGAGACCAAAACATCAAGTAGTGTTGCCAAAGCCAGCAATGAAGAAGATATAACCTGCAATTAAAGACATAGGAGGAAACTTACAAAATATTTCATGGAAACATAACAAACAAACCCAAGCAACAACATCAAAGGTCTGCAAATGTTTACATTCCTCAAATAGTGATTTCAGCAAATATCAAACATTGTACATATTTTTGTTTGAAAATACATAGATGCATTAGCGTGAAATGTGAATGTAACTTTGATATGCTCATGCAAGCATTCATGCACATATAAACATATAATGTGCATGTGTGGTTGGATAACTTAAGGAACTGGGGAGAGTTGGAAGTGGTGAAGAAAGATTAAGCACCTGATTTTCTCCAAGTAGCCTCAAAAACCTATATGGTTATAGTTCTTCACAAATATAAGTGAAGGCACTAGATCAAGAATAAAACCAAAAAGAAAAACAAAAGTAAAAATTGAAAAAATAAAAAAAGAAGACAACAGATTAAAGCTGGGGATAACTCATTTTATTTACCCGAGCAATCCCAAGAAATTTTAAGCATCAAAGGAAAAAAATTGAATAGTTTAGGATGACATACTTATTGCAATTTATAATCAATTCAATCATAAGGGAAAAACAAATGCAAGAAGTTGTTCAGAATGAGAAGGTTAAGTAATATAGACTATTACTCTTTTCCTTAACCAAAACCATATCCAAAAGAGATCCCTCAGTGCATACCTGCTGGTGCATCTCTTGCAATTCATCCAAGGCAACTGTTTTATCAGACAAATTTTGTGGTGTAAGCTTCAAATTTTCTTCCAAATACATAAAAATCTCCGCTGTGCATAAGATTAAAGCATCTAATCTCTTTTCCTGAGCAGGGAAGGCAGCCTGTTGTTCACAATCAAATGATTAAACTGATTAAAACTAACTGTCCTAAGCCCACATCCTTGGACATTGAAATGTTAAAAAAGTTAGAACTACATGCATAGGCTACATTAAAATTCTATTTACAGCTTAAAGGATGTCAAGAAGATTGAACCTTCAGAAAACATGAATTTTGATTCAAATCATACTCAATCCATTTTCCATGGGGAAACAAAATCTACACAGTATTCATGAGTACATACATAAGCTTGAGCTCAAACTAAGCAGGGCCAACTACTATTAGCAACAGACTTGTTTTCCAGCTACAGATCTCAAGATCCACTTATCAAACAATTGGGCTTGATTGGAATAACTCCAGTGCCCTTCAAAATATCTTTAGCATTCTACGTTTACTACAGTACATTACCTCCCTGTTTTAGATGGCTTGAAAGCTTGAAATATATAATAAGAAACTATTTCCAATTTTCCATTTTGGCCAACAATGGTTAATAACTAGGAGGTCAAACCTGTAATGAGCGCTTTGCAGCTTGGGAAACTTCAGAACTTGGATCAAATTGAGAGAACCACCATGGTCCCATCAACGACTTCAAATGTGGAGCCAAATCTCTTCTGCGAAGACATATAAGAGATCAACAAGTTTTTATTGCATTAAAAAACAGGGCAAATGATTGCACAAAAGAAATATGAGGGAAAATAACATCATGCTTCTTTTACTTAGCCTCTCTTCATAAGGCAGTCCATTCTTTCTAACCTCTTACCTCTTCTGACTCAATAGATGTGGTTTTTTAGAATAAAAAACATTAGTATCAGTTTCTAATCTACCATAAAAATCATTTTTCAAAAGATTAATGAGGAGGAGAATTTAGCAATCTTAGTTGTTTTAGCTTTGCATTAGTTTCTAAATTACCAAACAAAAAGATGTTCACTGACTTAACACCTAGAAGACCAAATCTTGTATGTCTTTCACCATTCATAGGATCAAACTTTTATAATTAATATCCTTCACTACAATGTGTCCATTAAGTTATGTATTACAAGAAGATTTGAAATAACATTCATTAGCAAATAAAAAGGAAAAGAAGTTCAAACCCGACAGAGGTGACAAGAATTGTCGTTGTTTCGTGAGTAGCTCGCCGAACCTCCCGATTATAGTCCAGCAATAGCTTCTTGTATTCAAATGCCTGTATGAATAAGAGCATAGCAATATTGGAACATGTTAATTCAAGCACAAGGCTTGAAAAACTGAAGTTCACATTAATCCATTAAATCATTGAGTATTTTTCAAGTTTTAGTGTTTTTCTTTTCACATTAGAATGAAGCCAAACAAGGAATTCAGTCATTAAATTTTCCTATACCAGAGTTTCAGTTAAGTATTGAATTAAAATTTTGGAGTCTTTAAAATATCATTCTAGAAAATAGAAAAAGAATAGATAAGAAACCACTTTAGTTTGCTTTATTCCACATATCTGCTGTCTCAAAGAACAAAGAAATCGAAATTTTGTCTGCAATTCCGATAGTTAGTATCTACTATCCAATTTCAAGACATTCTCACTTTCACCACTTTCTTCTTTGTTCTTCTCCTTATGAAGATGCCATTTGTTCAAATTTTTCTATATTACAACACTAGCAAGTTGTAAAGCATAGCTTACTGAAGCCCATTTTTCTTTCCATGTCAATTTCTTTCTCTAGGCACTGTTCATTCCCTACCTATCTTTTCTTTAAAGGTCTACTGCTAGTATTAATTCATATAAAATCAACTTAGTTGAAGCATCTGCAATGACCAGTGAAGAGCAAAGAATGAAATCATACCCATTGTGGAATGATTGGTACTATTTCCTTTCCAGACCTTTGCTTCAGCAGCGCAGACAAAGATGCCAGAGCTTTCAGCTGTTAATGAAGAAGAAGCTGGCGATTACACAGAAATTAAGATAGATACAAATTACAGAAAAGGGATTCTCCTTGATCATGACGATACACTCAATTCATTATCAAAACGGCAACGGGATGACACTACTCAACCTCAGCAATTACATCTAAAAAAAATCCAACGACCTAAAAACTAAGATATGTCCAATGAGACCTGCAAAAGATAGAAAGATGTAATATTCGAGGCTTGAAAGAGAGTTCATGGCAGATATTTGCGAAAACAGTACTACCTTGGTAGTAGGATCCTTCCTCGCCAGCCTTTTTAGGTGTTGTGCCACTTCACTATCTATATCCTGTAATTGCAAAAGCCACCAGCATTAACTCATCCCGTTGACAGAATAAATTCACTAAATTTATTAACAAAGCACAAAATTTTTAGCGGGAAAGAGGTATTGAATACCAGAAACTGGCTAGAGTCTTCGCCGGAGATAGACGAATCGAGACGAGAGCTACCGACGTAGCCACCGAATCCCACCGCTGCCGCAGCCGAACCTGACGGCAATAGAGAAGCCGCAAGGCTGCCGAAAAGGTCAAAATTTTAGCTTACAGATAAATAAAAAAAGGTTAATTTGTCAATACAAAAAAACAAACAAACCAACCTGCTGCTTGAAGCGCGCGACTTGCTCCTTGCTCCTTCACCCTTCTGCCTCCCCATTCTGCTATACTTAGACAACAACAAAAAAATTAAAAAAATAAAAGCAAAAACCCGATAAAATTGTTGCTGTGAAGAAGGTTTTGTATACAGAGAGGAATAGAACTGAAGGGGAAAGCCCTGTTTTTGAATTTATTGAATCAAAGGCGGTGTGGGAAAAGTGCCTTGCTTTCTAGCAAGGGAAGAAGCCTTCGGGCAATCAGAAGTTTGTCTGGGCTAATTTTTTCGTTTTCCCTTTCTTTTTTTTTTTTTGGAAAAAAAAAACTCAATGAACTACTTTATACCAATTTACAAAGTATTTTAATAATATGATTTTGATTTAACGATTATTATTTTTTAAAAAAAATTATTAGGGTTCAAAATTCGAATCCTCACTCAGACCTTAGACCATTTTAATTACTTGACATATTCCTTTAAACACCACTAAATAAATAAGATCAGAAAAGAAAATGGAATCCTTTGCTCATGTACTGTAAGTAAACTTTAGACTATACCCCCAAGCTTGAAATGGGCCTAAAAGAAGATGCATTCACAATTCAATACTTGAGTCATCTAATACTTTTCAAATTTACAAAGCCACAAGGTATAAAGAGCATACACAAGTTTCTTCTTTCCTATATATAGAAGAAAACAGAGAAATCTATTTTATATTTTTAGCATTTTTCACCAATCAAAGAATTGGCCAATTCTTCTTTTGGCCATAAGCATCTGCCAATTCTGGCTGCCAACTTTTGACAAAGTACTCCCTTGCATTGAACTGAAAAGATTTCCCTCAATCCAAACAGCTTATTCTCTTTCCTTTCTCCAAAATATTTCCGTCTCCATCGTCTTCGTTCTACTACACCATCCTCCCAAAATCATGGCCAGTTGGCCACCACCGCATATTACCATCTCAGCTGCCATCCCACCACCGTCTCCTTGTAACCAAATCTCTCTCCATCCTGATTTTTGAGGCATAATTGTTAATATTATCTGCATGATCCCCAGAAGCATATTGCAATGTCTAAAACTGCTATAAACCACCCTCTGCCTCAAGTGTTTGTGTTTTCCCATATTTTCCTTTTGTTAAGCATGTTGGTGTTTTCCCAATCTTATATCGATAAGGGGAATTTATCCAAAACTTGGAATTTTTTGGGGCCATTATCCAAGAATATCACCACGAGTGCCACAACCAAAGAAGGATCTACAGAGCCAGGAAAAATAGTTATACGAAATTTACTCCTTCTGACATAAACCTGCCGAAGCTTGTGCATAAGACTGGTCTGCATCAATGAAAGCATAGAATTAGAATGAGAAAATTTGCAGCATTGAAACTATGAAACAAGAATGACAAAAGAACCTATGTTGTATGAACCAGTAACATAATTCAAAGAGTGGCCTATAACAAGGGACCAGAAATAGTGAGATAAGTTTCTAATCGCATTACAGAAGATGATATAGATATCTCATGCCATGATCAGACTACTTCAGTATATCTTTAATATCTCCTATGTAAAATAGCTGTTTGAAATTTCGACAAAGGAAAAACATCCACCATAGGTTAATATAGTCGAGAAGAGAAAACCATTTAGAGTGGTAAGATCACAATGACAAAGGGGACATGGCAACAATATCCTGAAACCAGATGGGAGTGACAAAGGGTATTTCATTTATCCCATGTTTGCAGGAAACAGTTGAGTTCATAACAGTCAAAGTAGAAACTAATTTTTCTCATTGAGGCCTCAGTTGTAGATTATACCTGAGCCACAAGGGAATCTCCTTTGTAGATGGTGCAAGATCTTTGGAAATGGCAGCCTTTCACCTTGAAATCACAGGTTAACTCTCCTTGATTTTCAGTACCAAGAAATACCTCCAACTCTGTTCTAGTGAACTTATTCGACACTCTCTGCACTTTGAATACCAAACCCTTCTTGCCATCATCGCCATTGAAACCTTGCCAAGACCCGTCCTTGAAACAGGAAACAAATGAGCATTTACTTTTGGGAATCTCCCAAAACGACGAATTTCAACAACTTAACACAAAATTCAATCATATAATGATTCAAATCAACCAAAAGAATAACAATCTACAACAAATTGCAGAACACAACATTTAAAACATAAAAAGATTACTTCAAGAATAAAAGTGACCCAATTTCATTAATTTGCATAGATTTAGAGACTAACATGGTGACGGTAGGTAGAGATGAGGGGATTGCCCGCGGAATCGAGGAGAACCGTCCGGTCATCTGCTGATGATAGAGAAGTTTGACGGTTGACCCTGAAAACGATCTTCCCGGAAGAATCAGCGAATCCTAGGACGCCACGTGGGAGACCCGGGTGTCTCTTGGATACGAACAGATCGATCGGGATGGGCGAATTCGCCGGACGTACCGGAGCCGAAGTAGTCATTGGTATATTATCTCGCTCAGCTTCCCAGGCATGCAAAACTAAATAAATTGTCGACACCATTTCCCTTTTAAAGATTCTAACAAGAAATAAAAGCTGACCAATAAAGACAAAAAAAATAAGGTAAAAATTAAGAATTTCAATGAAAATTTTTCTTCATAAAGAAAACGAGATAGCAAGCGCTCCCGGTTTCAACTTCGGAGAGTACGCGGAAAGACCAGAGAGGAGGCATCACTGAAAGCCCAGAGAAATCATCTGACCCGACAAGAAGAAAGCCCACACAGCAATTTAGAAGTTAATGGCCTGAACGCACTGGATCCGCCCAACCTTTTTTTTTTTAACATCTTTTTTCTCTTTGTTTAGACGAATAAAAATAAATTATCATATCGGATAATTTAAAATTTTTCACAAATAATTTATGATTTGAAGATTAAGGCCTAAAGGAAAATCACTTGAAGATTCAAATAGGGTGTATATTTTGTAGTTAGCTTTTTCATATATGTTTAAATAAAAGTTAAATTCTTTGATTTAATAAATTTTTAATTAAATCTTCACTGTCAAAGGAAGTTGAACTATTATTAATTTTTCTTCTTTTCTTTTCATTTTCTTGGGATATGAATCTTGGGATAATGGCGAAAGATGTACAATTTCCCCATGTTATAAAGCAGTGAGGTTATAAGGTAAGCACCATGCATGAGAGCATTCATCTCTTCCTTGAACTTGGCCATGGAAGCTCTAGGAAGGGAAACAAGCACTTTAACCCCACCTTTCATGAAATGGTCTAGCTTGCAAGGAGACATTAGAATACACAAGTCCACGTCCCCATATATTTTCCATGGCAGCGATGTCATGTTCACAAAACCTTTCCATCCGAAGTCCACTTCACCTCGTACGCCTAACTGTCTCCGATCCGTTAGCACCATCAATGCTCCGGTGGCTACATCAGGCTTGTTACTTAGTAGTCGGCGTTTCTCCGTCCGGCTCATGGCCGCCCTGATGTAGTCCTCGGTAGAAGCAAGTTGCTTGCTCTCTTTGATTAGTTTCACAACCTTGGAGGGTGGTCCTTCCTCCTTCGTCAAGGTCCCCTCCAGTCAATACAACATTTATAGTGATAAAAGCATTCCCATAATATCCATCAGGCAATGGTGGATTCAAGAGGTGCCTTATTCCTACAGCTAAACGAATCAAGGTTTTTCCATTGGGATCCGATTTTAAAGCTCTAAACCTCGATCTCCATACATAGGCACCAAGCACCTCAACAGTGGTAAAACTTTCCGTCAGGTGTTCATCTTGATCCTTACTTTCTTCCATCAAACTCGTTTTAAGTCTTTTAATACTCTTAGCAGTTACATAAAAGTATTCTTGGACAATGTCCTTAGTAGGCAAATATGGTGAAGTTGCTAAAGAATTCTTATCCAGCAAGAATTCAGAAGTTTCCAAGGCTGGTTTTGGCACCAGTCTCTCCCTCTGCCAGATAGGTTTCGCTGAGGGCTCACACCATTTCCTGGCAAGCTCAGTTAGCGCTCGAAAGAAATGAGCTGCACCAAATCCATCCAAAACTGTGTGTGCCATGCCCATTGCAGCCGTGAAACCTCCACAAGCAAACTTGGTCACCTAAAACATTACCTGGTGACACCCATTGTCCAAATCAGGTGGAAGATCCAAGACAAATTGTCTAGCAATTGCAACATCTATGCAGTCCAAGTAATTCAGAGAAGAAACCTTGCAATCCGCAGTTGCCACTGAGAAAGGCACCCCATCAGCTTTGCAGTTGATTTGAAGCTTTCCATCACTTTGCCTCTTCAGCTTTCGTGCTAGTGGATAGTAATGAACCAAGAGCTTGGAGAGAGCTTCCTCAATTATGCAAAGCTGGATCTGGTTGCTGACTAATTTTTGTTTAAGATCATTGTTTGCTTGATACGAGAAAATAATCTGACCAATACGCTCAAGGTTGGGATTGTTGTCGAGGGTGGATAAAGAAAGAACTTCTGTAGGTGTGCGTGTTGATGGTTTTACAAGCACAGTACATTTCCTTCCTACTGAGAACGGAATATTGCAATGGGCTGCCATGGTAAAAATATGAAGTTATCAAAGTCTAAGGTGAGAGTTGAAACTTGAAACTTGAAATTCAGGAAGGGTACGGCCATACTGATTATATAGGATTTTTATTAGAACTTTACCCCAATATTGTACCAATATGGCTTTATTCCTAATGCGTATACATCCGAAGAAGGTGGGTAAGTATTGCTTTGGCTCAACCCACTACAGAGCAACTTTGTAATAAACTATACGGAGAGTTGACTTCATGGTGCCTACTGCCAAGCATGACGGATGGCAAATTGGCAAATGGGCAAACACTCTAGAGTCTAGAGGAGCGAATCCTTTTAGGAAAAAAATGACAACTACCTAACCTGATCTTCATGGTTTGGGGCTTGACAATTGACATAATAAGTTGGGAAGTCGCTGGACTGGAGTTCAAGCTTATCAACAAGAGCTTGGGTGTTGGGGCCCTGCGGCCGTCTATCACCCTCAAACGATTGCCTAGAAATCTAAGTGCGACCTATAGTTGGGGG